CACAAATCGACAATATGTTTGATAATCTCATTTCACTCACTTTAATTCTATTCTATTTTTTATGAATGAGGCCATAAGAGTTTTGGGAGGGAGTAACGATACAAAAATACATTTATTTGCTAGTTAAAATTTTCGAAAATGAAAGCAAGGATGCTGTTATTCTGAATTTTGTGGAATTTTTAAACTTCAACTGTAAGAACGTACAAACTTTTCCTAAAAAATTTGCATACTTTTAGACACTTTGGCAAATGGGAATATTCAAATTTAAATAAGTATATTCTCGCATATATCTTCTTATACCAGTACACCTTCAAGCAGATCCTAATTGAAAAAATTTTGTTGCATACTTTTAGGATTTTTTCGTTAATATTTTATGTCATTGGAGAAATGTTTGATTTAACTAATCAAAGCATATTTTCGAAAATAAAGGAAAAGATGGAGTTTTTATTTCTTGGTTGTCCGAAACACCGGACTTTTTATAAAAAAATTGCCTATTTTTAGTAGCATAAAACCCAGAAATGTATTAAAATATTTAAATAAACTATTTAACAAGATTATTTTAATATTTTCTTTCTAAAAATATTGCATACCTAAGGGCACTATTTTCCTTTTGGTCTCCAATAAATACTAAAACATGTCGCTGTGAACGTTAGCTCATAAATTTTATTTCCACTTAGACTTGAAAATTTGAGAGCGAAATTATGTTCGAATTTAATTGCATACTTTTAGCTGCACATAACAGAAAATCTTATAATAACCTTTGTGCCAATAAAGTTTAAGGAGTTTCTACTGATTTCGTCGTTACTACTACTAAATATGTTTACAAAATCCCATTTGCGCTTAAAAGTATACAACAAAATATTAACTTTAAGCAATTTAAACCATCATCGCAACACAAACATTAAAAACTAAAGCAGAAAACTTGCTAATAAAATTAGATTAGCCCACACTGTCTACCGAGCAAATCTTTAATCAACTCATTTTGTATAATGTCACCTAAAAGTATGCTGTATATGTCGCTTCATTTTAAAATCCTAGCTTTCTGCATATATGTAATACTTCTATATTGGCAGTAAGCTAACTTCTCAATGTGTAAGCATTCCGAAATCAAAGCGAGACAGTCTAGTACCATTTTTGTCAATGTATTGTGTACTTGAGTGCCGTTTTTGTATATGTGTTGTGTACATGTTTATTTATAAACGTATGTGTTCCTTTTCTTTCGTACGTGTTTATTGATATATCTGTACTGTAGTGTTTTCGGACGGTACTAGCTCTT